TCTCTCTCTCTCTCTCTCTCTCTCTCTCTCTCTCTCTCTCTCTCTCTCTCTCTCTCTCTTCAAGTGCGGGACTGCCGAACGCGGGCTGCTAGCGTTGAAACTGGTGCACAAGTCGCCAAACACGGGAGCCGTGTCAAATTTAAAACCAACCCCCCCCACGCAATAAACGAAAATCGCAAATCTTACCCGCGCGTCCCGCTGCCCGCCGTTTGCTCCGGCGTCGTTCCCGACGGCAAATTCGCGAATCTTCCCCCCCGGTCCGTCGCAAGACTCGAAACGGCACGTTTCGCCCCGGCTTCCCCGCAGCCCGCCCTTTGCTCCGACGCCATTCCCAACACCGGGCAGAGGGTCTCCGTGAAAGCGTTACACGAGACCCGCTGCACGCTTTAAGATTGTTAAGGATACTGAATCTAATGCCGCGTCTCTGATCCGCAGCAACATAGAAATTTTCAGTTAATTTCTTATTTTCGAGAAATAGCTGGATACCTCCTCTGTTCCTGCTGTGCAGTTCTGCTAGCTGGCTCCTATCCCATCGGCCATGGGCTCGGTATGCCGTTATATCCCAGTTCCCTGTCAGAACCGAGTTCACTTGGCCCGAAAATCTGTCGAAAGTGTGCTGAATTCGCAGAACTAAGAAATCTAGTGTTCGGCCTACCGGATTTGGCCGTAGTTCTGGTGCTTAGGTCCCATGTTCGAAACCCTGAGCCCCAGAGCATCCTCGCGGAATACCCAAAGATCTCATCTAACACATTCCCTCTCTCTCTCTCTCTCTCTCTCTCTCTCTCTCTCTCTCTCTCTCTCTCTCTCTCTCTCTCTCTCAAAACTCTTCTACCTCCATCTTAGTGGGATGGAGGTATTTCCAGATCCCGATGTGATGCCTTTCTTCAAACTTCTGAATTGCCTTTTCAATTTCTGTTTCAGAATAGGTCCTTCAACGCAATTCTCTCGTGAGACAAAGTAACGGCAGGGTCCTCATATCCGCGTTGTTCGTGCATCTCACGATACGATGCAGGTAGCTATTGATCATCGATAGCTTTGTTTGCTTATCACTGTAGGATCCGAAGTCTTGCATGCTCTGGAAGGTCAACGATCTGCCATCTGTCAGACAGTCCTGATTCTTCATCTGCAGAACATAAGAGATCTTCGGTCCATCCTGGTCAACAAAGATTCTGCATCCCAGACAAGATAAGAGTACCATCGTCTCCATCTATTCTCTCAAGAGTGAGATCTGGTGAATAGCTGCTCTGCAGCTTCTTCAAGATATCCCTTGCTTGACAGGATGAGCCAATCTTTGCCTCAGGTATCGTACAAAAAGAGCGACATCATCCATCAGCCTGAGCCCAAGGATCTTCTTCCTATCAGTCCCCAGACTAAGTACGAAATGGGCTTCACTCCTGGCACATAGGATGCATGCAAGGGCTGGACTAGTGTGTCCCCCCATCGGTATCCCTTTCACCTGTCGGGTCAGTTCTCCCTCCGCCAGGCTGAATGAGTGGTTGAGCTCATACGTAACCCAAGTACGCACGTGGTCAAATTTTACTGACCAATGCCCATCTCTAGCCTGGCTACCCATTGTCGGTTTCTTCCCATCGGCAATTGGCATTCACCCTGTTATACCCTTTTGATACCATAACCCCAATCAGCCAGTCCACTGACTCCTGGATCATTGTGTGTGACAGCTCCGCGAACATGTTTTTTTATGTCAAAAATTGCAGTCATCACTCCTTCCCTCGTGTTCAAACCATCCTTACATGTCGTCAGACGTCGTATCACTTCTTCTGAAGACGAGACGTTAAAGTGTACATGTCTTGCCAGGTGTCCCAACATGCATTGAAGCGCTTTCGCTACCTTCTTTGCACCTTCTTTTATCGGTGAGTTCCAAGCCGGCGCAATTGATCGCCATCGCCCAGGATCCTTGTTCTTTCGTATAACATACACATCCCCCAGCCGACCTTTCTTCCTCCAGGACCCCATCTTCTTCAGGCCCAGGTCGTCAAATCCCTTCTTACTCAGAGTTAGTGCTGCATCCGCCGTCATGCGACTCATCTCGAAACTGCTGTCATGCCAGAATGTGTCCCGAAGTGCTTGCACATAAACCATCGGACATACAATGTATGTCGGCTCCGGGTTCCGATCTATAGGCATGCGTACCAGGCCCTTCAGACGTCGTTTCCATTCTAGTAGCATCTGATAGCAGATCTCTCTCTCTCTCTCTCTCTCTCTCTCTCTCTCTCTCTCTCTCTCTCTCTCTCTCTCTCTCTCTCTCTCTCTCTCCCCCCATTGGACACAACCGTCGACGCCCTATGTCGCCCCCGGGTTCCGATCTATAGGCATGCGTACCAGGCCCTTCAAACGTTGTTTCCATTCTAGTAGCATCTGATAGCAAATCTCTCTCTCTCTCTCTCTCTCTCTCTCTCTCTCTCTCTCTCTCTCTCTCTCTCTCTCTCTCTCTCGCGCGCGCGCTGACACGACCGCCGACGCCCCCCCTCCTCTCCATCGGCCGCCTGCTCGCCCGCCCGTCGTCTCACCCCGCCCATCTCCGACGCATGTCAGCGCCCACATCCCCGTGCTTCTCCGCCTGCACCCTTCTCAGAACCGCTCCGTTTTGGACGAATCGCCCACGTCTGCCCCCCGGCGCATACTTCGCTACCCCCCGCTCCTCAGCCCCCGCCTTTCCCACTCCCCTGCCCTTTCACACTGGCCTTCCCGCCTCGCCCGTTTCGCACTAGCCTGCCCGCCTCGGCCGCGTGGGCCAGCTCGGTGTTTTTGCCGACCCTGAATTTCACTGGGCTCCGAGTTTGCCGAGCCTGGGTCCCACTCCATTTCTTTATGGTACTCTCACGGGGAGAAAAAAGAAGAGACAAAAAAAAGAAAAAGTTGTTGCCTGAAACTCAAAAAAATAAAAAGGAAAAAATGCTCTGGCCGTGATTGCAGTTGTATACATTCTTGGAAGTGGTAGTGTGAGTGTGCCCTCAGTGAGGGCATCTCAGCCCCGTGGCCAGGTTGTCAGATTCCAAACACACACACACAAAAAAAAAACACAGATACACGTATTCGGCCATGAAAATGGCTGGATACGTTCCTCTAAGTGCCAGTGTGATGAGGGTTACAATCCTCTGAGGAAACACAGCCGGCGCAGATCAAGGATTCCGCCCTGCCTCGTTGGCAGGGGACTCATAACAAACAAACTAGAAATAAAAAAAAGAAAACAACAAGTTTCCGAATGTGACCGTCTTTGCTGTAGGATGCATTCTGTAGGGGCACGGCCTCATAGACTACCCTGCCCGACATCATTGCAGTACAGAAGTTTTTTTTTTCATTTTCCTTTCACTCGCGGGCAAAAGAAAACTAAGATTTATGGGACTCGGCGACCCTGGGTCCCACCACCGAGTTCTTCGGGGACAGACCAGTACATTGTACTTTCCCAACACTGGCAGAGGCACTGGTGGTTCTAAATAATATAGATTCAAATAATCTTGAAGAGAATGACTAAAAAAAAAATTGATAATTTAAATTTGATTCATTCTTTTGAATCTTTTCATAAAACATAATCCCATGAGATTGCACCATGAATAGATGTATAATCCTGTCGATCTGGCCTAGCAGCTTTTAGCTTGTGTGCTAAGGTTCGGAGTGAGCTTCAGTAATCCCCATGCCGTGCACCTGGATATCCTGTCTACACAGAGAGAGAGAGAGAGAGAGAGAGAGAGAGAGAGAGAGAGAGAGAGAGAGAGAGAGAGAGAGA